GCCATCACCTGGCCAGGCCCACTATACCCACCTGGGGCAAAGATGAGGGAAGTTGTACCTGCTGGGAGGATAGAAAATTGGCTCAGTGTCTTGGTCCTTCATTGCATAGTACAGATGTGTCTCTTTGGGTTCCTGGATGTGATGGAATTCTGGTCCTCTTTCGGAAGCTGTCTGTGACTGTGACTGTCTCTGACTCTGCCATTTAGAGGCTTGATCTTGTGCACAGTGCTGCATTTGCCTCAGCCTCAGATTATACCTATGAAAGCAGAGAGAAACACTAGCACCTTCGGGGGTAGATTGCATAGGGTAAGATGTCTGCTTCCATTCATTGCATGTGGTCGGTGAGAAAGGAGGTTTTTTGGTGGTTTTTTTTTTTTTTTTTTTCTGTATTTTAGGGGAGGGTCTCCAAGGCGTACAGAGTCTCACTACTAGATCAGATTCGTAGTGATCCACCTGTTTACAGCCTCCCAAGAGCTGCGATTGCAGGCGCACGCCGCCATGCCCAGTCCCAATTGCCCTCTCAGTGTACCCCTGGGCTAGGCCCTGGGATTGAACCCCCGGCCCCTGCATCTGCTTGCAAGCACTTTAAGCCGCTGAGCTCTTTGGCTGGCCCTGAGCAAGGAGTTTTAAGCACTGTAAGTACCAAGACACAATCCTTCGGCAGCCCCCTGAGGAACTGCATCAGCTTCTCGCTTCTCCCTACTTCTTTGACTTGAAGAGTTCAGAAATGCTTAGCTGCTGGATATTTATTGATTCATTTATAACACATCTTACATACTCATATATACTAAAGATTGTACTATATGATATAAATCTGCAATATATTTTATATGCATGCATATGTATATGTGTTGGACATCCCTAATCTGAAATGTAAAATGCTATAAAAACTTGAAACTTTATCAGTTGCAACAGCATGATGCTATGAGTGGGAAATTCTACAAATGCTTTGATTTTTTTTTTTAGATATTTGGAATACATGTTTGTACATAACAGGACATCTTGGCGGAAGAGCACAAATATATACATACGCACATATATATATATATTGGGTTTTTTTGTGTGTGTTTTAGGGAAGGGTGTTCAGGATCTCACTACTAGATCGGACTCATAGTGATATGCCTGTTTACAGCCTCCCAAGAGCTGGGATTACAGGCATGTCGCACGACAACTAGTCTCAATTGCCATCTCAGCACGCCCTGGGGGTGGGGCCAGCACAGCAGGCCGAGGTATCGAACCCCTGGCCCCTGAGCCTCCTTGTGGCTGAGCTATTTGGCCGGCCTGCGAACACAAATACGAATAGGAGATTCACCAATGTTTTCTACATGCTTTCTGCACATAGCATACTTTATGGAAGTGAGTTTATACAGTGCTTTTAACACTTCAGACTTTTAACACTTCGTGGTCACTTTTCACTGTGACCCATTACACCCAGCATCGCAAGGATTTGGGATAAGAGAGCACACCCCGTAGGTGCACCTGTACATCAAAACCACTCGAGAGTCATGGAATAGTCATGAGATTGCTGCAGAGAGCTCCCTGTATGTTCTCTGCACAGCTTTCTGCCGTGTTGCCACCCCACATAACCACGGTGCTGTGCCCCCAGTTCCAGCTTCATTCCTCACCATTAGCTGACATTGAATAGTTTCACATTTTCCGGGTTTCCCAGCAACATCCCTTTTTCTGTTGAAGGATCCGATGTTGAGAGTATGTTTTCCTGAAGATACTTTGTGCTTACTGGAAGAGTTGTGTCCAGGTTCCCATTTACTGATTCTGTTTTATTGTCACTGATGGGGGAGTATGTGTGTATCCAAATTACTAATGAAATTAGCCTTTGTTTTGTGGTCGGTGTTCTTCTGGTTGCTGAACATAAAGGGATAGCAACATGAGCTTGGAATGAAGAGATAAGGAGAGAGCCAGGGGCCACTGCCACACAGCCCGGTTGGTGGCACACACCTGTAATCCTGTCCTTCTGGGAAACTGCAAGTTTGAGCTCAGCCTGGGTAATTTAGTCACTTAACGAGACCCTGCCTCAAAAGATTAAAATGGAAAAAAGCTAGGGATGTAGCTCAGTGCAAGCACCCTGGTTCAATTTCGAGAAATGTAAGAGAAAGCAAAGAAGAGGAGGAAAAGGAGGAGGAGGAGGA